ACTAGCAGAACTCATCCAGAATAGTAAATGCAAGAAATCCAGTCAGCTTCAATAATTGAAAATTATAGACTTTTTCTGCGGTTGCTTTTAGTCGACAAAACAAATTAGGTGGCGGCGTTTCAAAATCATGGTCACAAATTCTTTATATTTGACTTTTGCTTTTCGATTTTTCTGTTCCTATACAGTAGTAACACGGGCACCTCCCCCGGCTGTCCCCATTACGTCAAAAGCTTCCCTACTCGTTATCATTAATATTGTTGTTATTGTTGTTATTATTATTATATCCATGCATTATCGCATATAAATTTATTTAATCTGTTTTAATATTTTTAATAATTTAAAAAACTTAAGTGCAAAATAAAAATTGATGAACAATATTAATTTTGAGAATTTTTTTAATTTAATATGTATTATATAATATTTAATAAAATATTTATATTTTATAATTGAGTTTAAATATATCGTATGAATATGTTTGATTTTGATTAATAAAAAAACCATGCTTAGATTTTTTTTTAGTCAAATTAGAAGAGGTTATTAAATCAATTTATATTAAAAGGGTGTTTAATTTTACTTCATTATTTTATAAAAAGAAAATCATTAACCATTGTAAAAAAAAATATGTTAGATAATTAATAAATAAAAAATAAAAGCATTAAAAAAAAAAAAAAAAAGAGGCTGGGGTAAGGGCGCACCGGGCCTTCTTGGATGGGCCTGGAGATAGTCAGACTCGCGTGTCTAGGCTGGATGCATAGCCTAGCCATTAGAAAACACAGAAAGACCTTTTTGTAACATAAATTAAATGTAGGAGCTTTTTATACAAAATTATAACTCTAAGGACCGAAGTGTAACAAAATGTCCAACCGGTCACTTTTTTATATATATATAATAAAATGATGTTGCTTCACGTCAAAAAAACATATAAAGACGTTATTTTGTCCACTGTAGCAGGAGGTTAGTAACAATAAAGTCTCGTTTAGTTTTGGTATATACAAGTTTATTTGCCCACGTACACTACATTGCGAGTTCTTTAGAATAGGTAAAATCATTTTAGTTTAATAATCTATGGTGTGTTGTGTGTCTATAAAAATATATAAAATCAAAAAATAATATATATATATTCTTTGTGTTTTTAATAATTTTCCTATTAAAAAAGAATTTAATGTTCTTAATCCATGGATTCTTAATTAAAAAATTAAATTTTTTTTTAAAAAAATCTTTAGTATTTCATAAGATTGCGTCAAATAAATAAAGTAACAATTAATAAAAACTTACATAGAAGTGAACAAATAAAAAAAATTATTTTTGATTTTTATTTAATATTGATGAGAATATCAATTTTTAAAATCATGTGCATTTGATTTTTATATATTTATTCACACAAAAATGAATAATATTAGAATAAAAAATTGTATATGGATCATTGGATGATTACGCCAAAACATAATTTTAATTATTTAATTTCAAGAAATTAATTTCAAAATATCTAAAAATTAATAAATAAATAGTAAATGCTTAGTATTGTAGTAGTTGCATAGCTAATTTCTAAAAAAAATAAAATTATTCAAAATATTTTTATTATACATCATAACTATACTAAGTGAGCTTAGAGTTTATAGCGTAAAATAAAAGAAACTATAAAATAGTTTTAACTTGCAAGGAATATATTGAATAAATTTGAAGTTAGTAGAATAAAATAAAAATTTTGATTATATAAATAAGAAACAAATAAAACATGTAAATTTCTTTTTTTTCCTCAAATAATTTTCTATTTCTAAACCATACATGGCTAGTCCTTGTGCACCAACCTCACACATAGAGCAATCATCTCTCTTTTGTTTTTCACATTTGACTTTCAATTATTAAGTAACTCTTTAATTTTTTTTCTAAAAAAACCGAAACAAATCATTTGAAATGCACTATTAATCTAAAAAGTGTATTTCAATTGATATATATATATACATGCTACTATAATTTAAAAACTCTAAGAATCAATCATATAAATTATATAAACCTATTTTTTAAATAAAAAATAATCATGTTCTATAAATTTTTTTCAAAATCCATACAAAGAGAAAAATAAATCAAAATATCAATAAATACATTTTTAAATTAACTGGATGAGAATTTTCAAAAAAAATAACAAATTAAGTAATAATTTTTAAATAATAAGAGTAATATAAGATAAAAATATATCAAATATATCTCTTTCTTGTGAAGTTGTATAAAAAAAAACGATTGATTTTTCTTAATTTTGTGGAAAAAAAATCAATAATAAAAAAATTGATTGAGAATAAAAGAGGAAAAAAACCAAGCAAGGCTTGCGCAAGCCAACTTTAAAACAATCGATGCATCGTTGACCAAATGAGGCCTCACCATGCCTCTTTCTCTCTCCTCCTTTGTCTTCATTAGTGGTGTTCACTATTTAGTGAAAACCAAAAAATCGAATTGAACCGTACCGAAATATCAATTTTGATGCAGTTTTTTATTTTAGAAATTAAAAAAAAACCAAATCGATATATAATCGATTTTTTATTTCAGTTTCGGTTTAGGATTTTTTTTTAAAAAATCGGTTAACCGAATAAACGAATTATTACATTTTTTTTGTAAAATTCATGATTGAAATAGTTGAATGGTATCTTAAGTGGATTCATGTTCAAAAAATATTTTATGAAATTGAAGTAAATTATATATTAGTTCACTAATCAATGTTGATCATGCTTAAATTAATATTAATTTATTTTAAAAATAAATTGAAAATGTTTCTCAAAATCAAAATATAGAGACTAAATTTGTTTTTCAAAACTAGAGGGATTAATTTATCATTTATTTTATAAAACTTCAAGAGTTGAAAATGTTCTTCAACAAATGGACTAAATTTAAACATTGATCATACAATATTTTACGTTGACCAATTTAATTGTAAAATATTTTATCATAAACAAATATAAGAAAATAAAAAAAATCTTTAGTATTAATTACGGGTAAAAACCGACTTACCAAATAAAAAACCGGTATATTTCGAAACCGAACCGAAAAACCAAATAATAATTCGGTTCAATTTCGGTTATTTTTTTGGATAATTTTGTTAACCGAAAATCGGTAAAAAAATTTCGAAACAGAATCGAATTACTAAACGAACACCCCTAGTCTTCACCCATTTCTCTCTCTTTTCTAATTGATGAACTAAATCACAATACAAATAAAACTTGAATCGAAATAAAAATATATATATAAAAAATAACGACTAAAGTGTAATATTCCTAAAACCATGAAATGTTGCATATCAAATGTCTTAAAATCTTTCGAAAATTATAATAACATCATGAATCGTGAAAGTAATAGTGTTTCGTAAGTGTGTGATTAGTATTATGAATAATAAAAACTCATTTTGTTTTAGGGTCCTTTGTTAATTTATATAATTTATATGTTTCACTTGGTTAGTTGGTTTTTTTTTTTTTAATGGAATGCCATAAATAATTTCATTTCAAAAGTTAAATTATCAACAAGTTTCATCATGTGTGGATAATTGTCTAGTATCTATGAGTAATGCTAACCATGCATAATTGTCTCATATAATTTATTTATGAAAAAAATATCAAATATTCCAATATATCATAAATCCAATCACTGATATTTTTTTAATAAGTGAATTCTATAAGACAATTATGTATTAGCATTACTTAGTGTGTGCACATGTGTGTAAATTAAATTTCATGCTTTTTTCTAAATTTTTGGAAATTTATTTTTGCAGAATTTTGGGAATTGATTGTAGAATGACATATTTATATTTATATTTTTACTTATTTATTTTTTGTATTTGTTTGGTTTTGTCAAATTTTTAAGTTTTTAGATGGTTTATGCGCTTTTACCAGCCGTGAAGGAGTTTGTGAAGGAGTTATTGTAATTTAGTCAAACAGATCCCATTCTTGGATTTCAAAACCCAAGGAAAGGCTAAGATCTTGTTTACTTTTATGCAATTTAATCCTCGTAAAACTCCTTATCTTGATAAATCAATTTAACAAAAAATGTGGTTTTCAAAACCCACCGCCCGACACCACCCCCCCCCCCCAATCTCTCCCTCTCTATTACCATCTCTCTCTCTCTCTCTCTCTAAAGTAAAGAAATGCACGTAGTCTACAAAGTAGACGATAAGTCATTGTCTAGATTTTTGAAGATCGGAAAGAATAACCCATTTGGTCGAATAAAGAAATGCCACGTTAAGCGAACTCGATCCTCAAATGATTAATTTTTTTCACTTAACCTCTCTCTCCAGACCTGTCTGAAGACCATCTCCATTTTACCCCATCATGGATGCTGAAAAACTGTTTCTGTTTTTCTCTTTTCTAATGCTCCAGTTATCATTATGTACATCCCAAGAATCCATAAAGACGAACCAAATCATTAAAGATGGGGACCTTCTAATTTCCAAAGGAAATAATTTTGCTCTAGGATTTTTCAGTCCAGGCAGTTCTAGCTATAGATATCTTGGGATTTGGTACCATAGAGTACCAGGAAGAACTGTAGCGTGGGTAGCAAATAGGAACAATCCAATCATTGGCTCCTCAGGATTTCTTTCTATCGACAAATATGGAAACCTTGTTCTGTTTGGTAATCGTGACCAAGAAGTTCCGGTTTCGTCCTCAAATGGTTCCATGGAAGTAGCAGATGATTGTGCAGCTGAGCTCTTGGATTCTGGAAATTTGGTTTTGGTTCAAGATGGGAGTCCAAGAGTTGCATGGCAAAGTTTTGATTATCCCACAAATGTTCTGCTACCGGGAATGAAAATTGGGCTGAATCAGGGAGATCCCCTGATGACCCTGGAATTGGAGATTTTTCAGCTAGGATCAATCCGAATGGCTCACCACAATTGTTTTTATATAAGGGTTCAAAGCCATCTAGTCGAACTTCCCCATGGCCCTGGGTAGGCCAGCACAGTTTATACAACATGAGTTTTGTAAATGATCAAGACGAAATATACTGTATCTACATTATTCCTGATGATTCTCGTCCTGACAATAATAGTAGATTATTCTGGATTTGTGAAAAAGTTAACATGGCACGAAAGTGAATCAAGTGATGGCCAATGGAAGGAGTTCCGGAGAGACCCTCAGAATCGATGTGATTTTTATGGATGGTGCGGTCCTAATATTATATGTGAACCTACTTATGTAAATAAATTTGAATGTGCCTGTTTACCTGGGTTTGAGCCCAAGTACCCAAGGGACTGGTTTCTGAGAGGTGGCTCTGGTGGTTGTGTCAGGAAACTACTAGAATCCTCTTCAGTCTGCGAGCACCGAGAAGGATTTGTGAAGGTGGAAAATTTAATTCTTCCTGACTCTACCGCAGCAGTTTGGGTGGACATGAGCATGAGTCCTGCAGACTGTGAACTGGAATGCAAGACGAATTGTTCATGCTCCGTGTACGCCAGCATTGAAATTCCTGGGCAAGGGGTTGGCTGTTTGACTTGGTATGGGGAATTATTAGACATGAAATATGGTACGACTGATAGTTATGATCTATTTGTTCGCGTTGATGCATATGAATTAGGTACAGTTCTTCTGCTCAGTGATCACTCCAATAGGATTATTCTATGTTGATGCATAAAATTTTCCTTTTTTCCTCTTAAGCAGCTGAATATAACAGGAAGTCAAACGGTTCTGGTGAAAAGAAGGACATTCTGGCAATTTTGGCACCGTCCGTTGCATCGCTATGGTTTATCATTAGCTTATTTGTGGCTCAGGAAGAGGGCACAAAAATGTAAGACAAAACTTTTATCACTATTGTAATCTGCCTAACAAATCAAGTATTTATTCTGCTTGGGTTGTGGCTAATGTCTTTAGAGGAGAAATTTTTTTTCCCTCATGATTGAAAATGCTTCTTAGGTACAACTACAGATGAACTACGGGGAGGTAGCAATACTACGGACTTAGAATATTTCAAGTTCAGCACCATAACAGCTGCCACTAACAATTTTTCTCCATCTAATAAACTTGGCCAGGGTGGTTTTGGCTCAGTTTATAAGGTAGGGTATCAAAAAACTAAATAGCTTCTCAATATGCTGTGTTTTTCTGTTCTCGTCATAATCGTCATTTAGAGGTCTGATGTTTTTGCAATTTTATTTTAGGGTCTGCTACCAAACGGAGAGAAGGTTGCAGTAAAAAGGTTATCGAGAAATTCAGGACAAGGAATAGAAGAATTTAAAAATGAAGTTACAGTAATTGCAAAGCTGCTGCATTGAGGGTGGAGAACAAATGTTAATTTATGAATTCTTGCCAAACAGAAGCTTGGATTCTTTCATCTTTGGTAAGTCCTTGTATGTATATTTATTGTCATGCTTTACACAAATTGTTTAATTTTAGCTCTATGAGAGATGATTTTTTAAACAGATGAAAGAAGAAGATTGTTATTGGAATGGCAGAAACGCTTCGAAATTATTAATGGTATTGCTCGTGGGATTTTATATCTACACCAAGACTCCAGGTTGAGAATCATCCACAGGGATTTAAAATGTAGCAGCATCCTATTGGATGCAGAGCTGAACCCAAAAATATCAGATTTTGGGATGGCAAAAATATTTGAAAGCGAGCAAATCCAAGACAGGACAAGTAGAGTTGTAGGAACGTTGTAAGTACATATGCACAAACTCCTAAGCACAATTATCAAGAAGTATACTAAAACTTGGGACTTGTCCATATTTTTCTTATGCAGTGGCTACATGTCACCAGAGTATGCAGTGTTTGGACATTTTTCCGTGAAATCAGATGTTTTTAGTTTCGGGGTCATGTTGTTGGAGATTATAAGTGGCAAGAAGAACAATAGATTCTGTCAGCAGAATGCTTTCTTGACCTTGATTGGATATGTGAGTTATAAGAGAATCTTTTCTGCTCATAGCTAGCTTTCAAAATTCACAATTTTAAATGTCGTCTACCTTCATTTCCTGTATGGTAATGATTTATATGAACAACACAGGTATGGGAATTATGGAGAGAAGAGAGAGCATTGGAGATTGTTGATTCAACGCTGAAGGATTTATATCCTCCCCAAGAAACCTTGAAATGCATACAAATTGGTCTGTTGTGCGTGCAAGAAGATGCCATGGACAGACCATCCATGTTAGCAGTTGTTTTCATGTTAGACTAGTGAAACAGCCATTCCTTCTCCTAAACATCCTGCTTTCCTTTTCAGAGAATCTGGCCAAAATCCTGACATAGCAGTAGACGTAGAAGAGGGACCTCACCTATCTATCGGTGTAAGCTTTTAGGTGAGATAGTCCTTTAATACAAGCATTAGAGCTTGGTTGACTAAGAAGTCCCGAATTCAAGTCTCACCATCTCCAATTTCTCAAGTATTAAGTATAAGACAATATGAACATGTGTAAGTTTCAAGTCCAAATGTTAGGGTTTTCACCGAAGGTGGTGTGTTAGAGACTATTATAAATTATATTCTTGGATCTCACCTATCGACTTAAGCTTTTAGGTGAGATGGTTCTTTAATAGGGCGAACCAAATCTTTTTGGATGAGTCCGGAGAAAGTCAGCCCCTGCTCCTAGTTGCGCCTAGGCTAGGCGCACAGCCTAGCGATTAAAAAACACACAAGGACCTTTTTGTAACAAAAATTAAAGTTATGAATCGTTTTATACAAATTTATAAGGATCAAAGTGTAACAAAATGTATAAAAAGTCCAAACAATCACGTTTATATATATAATACAACTTAAATGTCCTACATCTGTCCTCTTTACTGGCAAAAAAACTCGTCCTTTAAGTTAAATTGTTCATTATGTTCCTCTAGGTGGAAGGTGTAGAGATTAGCCACATTAAAAGTCTTTAAGATGCCCATAGATTTAGAAATTTTAACAGCATAGGCATTATAATTAATTTTCTTGAGAATTTTATGTGGCTTGATTTATTTATTTAGTTAACTTGCCATGTTTCCCGGCTAGTAACTGTTATTTGCATAAGTTGACCATCATATCATCACCTTAGTTAAAAATCTACTTTTGTTATTGGGCATCAATGTGTTCTCTATACTTGGTGTTAAAAACTTAAATTTGTTCGTGTACTCGTCTTTGTACTACGTGAATATGATCTGCTAAGTGCTCAAATGTAAGAGAATATCCTGGAACTTTAGATAAAGGAATTAGGTCAAAAGTGTGGAGAAGAGCCCGACCATAAATAATCTCAAATGGTAATTTTTCTTTTGTTGTATTTTACATATTGTTGTATGCAAACTCTACATATGAGAAAAAGTCTTATTGCATAGGACGATCACCACAGAAACACCTAATGACATTTCCCAAAGACACCTAATGATATTACCTTGTAGGTGACAAATAGTGCTATACTGTAAATTCGTATCAAATCGCCATTATAAAGTTCTTTGAAAGTGACTAAGAAACTTTGTGTCTATATTTGAAGTGATAGTCTTTAGTATTCCATATAAACGGACAAATTCCTTAAAGAAAAGGCCAGCTATGCTGGTGGTATCAAAAGTATTGTGACATGGAATGAAATGACCTATCTTGCTAAATTTATCCATTACCATGAACACAAAATCGTGTTGCCTTTATACACATAACAACCCCAACATAAAATCTGTGGATAAATCTTCCCATAGTCCATTGAACACTGATCAAGGTGTGTACAATCCATCATATATCATTGTACAAACCTCACAAAATCTTTCTTCAATTGAGGTGAATAATATCAAGCCCCAACCAAGGTAATGGTTTTATCTCGCTCAAGGAGTCCACCCAATCCTCCATGTGTAGCTCCTAAATGATTTTGTCTCTTAGGGAGCAAATTGGCATATATAGTCGAGTCCCCAGAAAGAGAAAATCATCTTCTAATAAGAGTTCAATGGATTGGCCATCATTCCAACGAGCCTAATGATTCCTAAAATCAACATCATAAGGGTACAATTTCTTAAATAAATTGAATGCCATCTATCACTTAATTAAAAGCATCGGCCACCTTATTTTTATCTCTTAACTTATGTTTGAGAGTGAAAATTAAATGTTGAAGAAAACATCCATCTATTATGCATCCAGTTGTGATTTTAGTGGGTTGTTGATGTATTCGTGAGATTGATGGTTAAAATATAACGTGAGCTCCCGTTGCACTAGGTAATATTTCCAATATCAGAGTACTTGGACAATAGCATTTAATTCAAGCTCGTAGGTGGACCAATTCTTTCTTGCTTCACTCAGTTTTTCATTGTAGAATGCAACTGGATGCCTTTCTTATGAAAGAACATCACTTGTCCCTAAAATTAAGGCATCCATAATGAATTTCTATAGTCCAACTATAAATAAGCATGTCATCAAAATAAACACGACAAACTTGCCTATGAATGATTTAAGGACTTGGTGCATGAGCCTCATAAAGATATTAGGTGCATTTGAAAGTCTAAATGGCATGACCTTTTACTCATATAGCACTTCCTTGGTTTTGAAGGTTGTCTTTCACTTATCACCTAAATGAACGTATATCTGGTGCTAGCCTCTCTTCAAATCTTTTGCTGAAAAATTTAGCCCTTTCAAGCATGTCAAGCATATCATTTAGCCAAGTAATAAAAAATCTACTCTTCACTGTAATTTTGCTATTAACTTGGTTGCCCACACGTGTTGTAATACATCTACTTCAGTTGGCAAGGGACCTTCTCCTTTGGCCACCAATGCAATCAATTCTTTCTTCTCTCCAGCTTCCTCAAGATTTTTTTTGGTGTGTAAAAGAGATCCCCTCTACTTTAAAAGTGTTAGGATGTTCTTTCACATCCAAAACAATAAGAACAATCATTTTTCTACCCTTGTAAAAGATGTATTTTTTTTCCTTATAAAATACTTGACAATCATACTATCAAGGTGTCATCAAGATGATTTGAGTCATATCTATATTAAGGATATCAAATACAGATTCATCAAAATAAACATCACCAATAGAAAATAAAATTCTACATTACTCATTTACCTACTACTGGTGTTTGTTTGAGATCCAACCAGCTAGATAAGGTTTTGGGTGATCAATTGTTTGAAACTTGAGCTTCTCTACCATGATTTTTGGCCACAACATTTTCTTCACATTTTCTGTCAATGGCTAGATCAAAATATGCATATTCAGCCTCCTCATTATCTGTATTGTATTTTTGTTTATACCCATTGTCAACACCATCATCATATGACTGCTCTTCTTCCACAGCTACCTCTTGATTGACTAGATTGACTCCTCTAGTCCTTGGTTGAGGACATGTGTTAGATCTATGCTGCTTTTCCCACAACAGTAACACTTATTTGGGGATAGATAAGCTTAAGGGTTAGGGGGTTGGTTGGTCCTCATTAGAGGCTGTCCCATGCTCCTTTATCATAGATTGGTACCTCGCTAGTATGTTTACGTTGCTAGGGTCATATACAACATCAACTTTCTTATCTAAACGTGCATATGGTAGGCGATGATACGTGTCCTTTAGTAGCTCCCTCTTTTCTTTTATTTTGAGTGTCGTCCCTACCTATGTGATATCTCGCCCATAAAAGATTTGTAAGACTGTTGCCCATGACAGAAAGATTTCTCCTCTTGTGACACTAATTTAGTGGCTAGCCGAATGGCTTCACTAAGATTCCAAAATATGTTAGATGCCCATCCTCTTCTGAATTTTTGCTCTTACCCCATTAATGAATCTTATTGTTGGTTAGGATTTGATTTCAAACAGATCATTTTGAGTGGATAGTTGAAAAAATTCAGTAAAATAATCCCTTGCCGAACAATTC